AGTTTCTATAAAGCTTAATAAGTTATTATAATCTATATATATTAAATATTATAATCTATATATTAGAATTATAATTATAAATTAGCTTATTTAGATTTTAAAATATATTAAATATAATAATAAATTTATTTTATAAATAATTAATAATATTTTATTTTATATTATTAGTTATATATAATATAATAAACTAATATTAATTAATATATAAATATTTAATAATATAATAAATTATAATATAGTTTTAAATATACTTAAATACTTAATAATATTTAATATATATTAAGTATTAATTAGCTTATTATAACTATTATATAATCTTAATAATTTAATTTAATATAATTAATATTTTTTTATTATAGTTTAACTTTTATATAATAATAAATAAATAAAATTACTTATTAATAAATTAAATAATTAAACTTAATTTCCTTATTATATTTTAGTTTTTATTATTATTATTATTAGGAGAGTAGTACAGTGGTAGTACTTACGATCTCGCGGTAGGCCCTACTTACTTAAGAATCCGTAGGGCACAGGTTCGATTCCCGTCTCCCCCGCTACCCTAAAAAGGCAATCGTTACTTGCTTTTAAAGCTATAATTACCCCTTCTTAGGGAAGGTTATTCTTCCCTTTTTAGTAAGTGTAGAGGACGAGCTATAGCTCTTTTTAATACGTTATAAAGGTACAAATTTTTGTATTACGTAACTACTATATATAGCTATAAGATTATCCTTATTAAAGCCTTACTACTAATAATAGACTAGCGTTAAAATTACATAATTAGAAACTAGCTACTACGTAAAGCTACACTAAAATAAGCTACAATATTGCTAAAGCGCAGCAAATTCAGCATGCTAAAGCTAATTCTTTTACGGCTCTTAGCAATTAGATTAGATAATCGGCCTTAGCTTAGTAAGCTTAAAATCCTACCGCGGGAGGCTAGGATCAAACTAAATAATACGGCAGAAAATTATAAGATCTAGGGACACTACGGCTTAGTAAGTACAGTGCCTACAAGTTAGTATAATAGCGCTATAGGATAAGTTAGTAGACTTAGGGGAGGTAACCTAGAACATACTAGGCTAAAGGACCCTAGATAATGGCTTAAAAGCAAAGCATAGCGTAGACGGATAGCTTTTAGCAGACTATTAGCGCTGCCTTAGACTTAGTATTATAGCAAGAATAGAGGGATCTAACATAATAATAAGGAGGGAATTAGCCCTACGGGGTAATAATATTGGCAACTTTAGGAACTTAAAGTAGTAGACTAATTAGAAGAATATACTATCGTTATAGAAAATACGCCTAGAGAAGTACTAATAGGCTAAATACTCTCTAGAATTTAGCTCCCTAACTCGCTAAAGCTTTTGCGGCTTGGGGGGCTAATAGGGCTTAGCAGGGTATAATATTAGCCTTAGTATAGATTAGTACACAGAATATAATAGCAAGGTTTTCCCTTATATAGTTAGCGCCTTAGTTTACTAAATATATAGGGGTTAGCTAAAGCTAGACTAGGCCTTAGGCCTAGAGTAAGCTAGCTTAGCTAGATTTAGGTAGATTAGCTAATTAGATAAGGGTTTTTACCTACTTATTAAGAGTAGCGTCTGCATAGCCTATTAGCGTAGCTAAAAGACAATAAATAAGATTTATATATTATTATTATTATTATTATTATTATTATTATTATTATTATTATTATTATTATTATTATTATTATTATTATTATTATTATTATTATTATTATTA